CCATGTTTATCAGTAGAGCAAAAGTGTGAGTGAACTGTGAATGAAGATGAAAACCTATTGTCAGTCATTCTGTCGGCAATTGGAGAGGTTTATGGCGGTCTCATTTAAAGATTTTGCGAACAATGTTTACGTGTCTCGTTAAATAGCAGCTGCAAGCTCCCGTTTTTCTATTTTAGTGTCTAGAATGTTGAAGCACAAAGCATAAGAACCAGCTGTACCTGATCCAGCAAAGTTCGTGGCCTTGGAATTTATAAAAAAGAAAAAAATTGTGCCACCAAGTAATCTCTGGTCATTGACCAGATGCATCCCCTATTTTAGTTCGTTTTTACCTAAGATTAGAGTGTCAAAAACAGTGCATGTTATAAAAAAGAAAACCTGCATGACGCTCTCTGCATTTCTTTTGAGGAATTGCAACACTGAAATTTCATGCCTGATTGCTTTTTTTCACAACGACGCAAACGCTGGAACTTTCACTTTGTATATAATGTCTTTTTTTTTCAATAACTTCACAGAAAATCCGGAATGTGACATGAAGCAACAGAAATTGGTAGATTCCACGTACTGTGGGAATCAATTTCAGGTGAAGCACAAATAAGGAATGTTCATATGTAACCTAAATGAGCGCAACGTTATGAGGTGGACGTAGATTATGCCGTACATAACTTCAATGCCATGATTATTAAGTTTGAATGTGCCATTTGCCTTCGTCGCCTGTTCACGTGACGTAATACCAAAATTCTTACATGTGGAGCAAGCAAAACGACCACGAGCACGCTATGAGCGTAGCACGTGTTCATGTTTTACATGACCCGGATATCATGATTAGGATGTTTAGACGCGTCATTTGCATTCGTCGTCTATTCACGTCACGTGATACCGAATGTCGTATATATAAAGCTCGCAAAACGGCCACGAGCAGGCGAAGCGTAGCAGGTAGTCATGTTTTACATGATACGCATATCATGATTATCATGTTTACACGTGTCACTTGCTTTCATCGTTCCCTCACGTCATGTCATAACCAACTGGGTATATGTGAAGTGAGCGAAGTGACCACGAGTGCACCATGAGCATGGCGTGTAGTCATGACTAGTCATAACATGAAAATCATGAAGTGCATGACATAATTTCCACGTAAGAGTCAGTCACTTATGTTCGCTATGCAGTCATGTCATACCATACTAGTTTTGCAAAATGTCATATGAACTAAACCATCGCAAGAGCAGCAACACCATGAAATGTAAATTCTGACATCCATGACATGTCATGGTCATCATTTTATAACTAGTCAGTTATGTTCATTATAATCATGTTAGGCCGTATCAATTTTGCTATTGATGCCATTATCGAGATGGCCAGGAGAGTCAAAAGTCGTAGGCGGATAGATAGATAGATAGAAGATAGATAAAGATAGATAGATAGATACGCTCAATGTTGCCGAAGTTCGCTAAGAAATCCTTCGAATTTAATTTATAAACTGTTTTACAGTGAATGCTGTTACCATATCACTGAGCGAGCCACTTTTGGAGCCCTTCTTGTTTAGCGCCATCGGTGTTTGAAACCGCTCTCGTCCGGAATGATAAAGGGAAGCAAGAGCGATCGTTCCATTATAGCAATCGGTATAACACGAAAATGAAAATTGGCTTTACAGAGTTGCATAAGCGTTTCTTTTGCATTGTTTTGTTGCGAGGGCGAAGCAGTGAATGCGACAGCAACAAACGGGAATATCACGTGAAGAACGGCAAGCAGCTCAAAAGTGCCGCGCGCTGCTCAACCACAAACGCTGCACGCTAGGAATGCACTAGGAACGAGCACGAACGAACGAAAGTTACTATCATAGATACTTTGTGTTTGAAGAGCCCACTCCTTTAGAAAACGTGGCGGCTGCAGCGAGTGAAGCGACCTTTGTGCACGCAAACTTTGAAGTTACCTTGGGGTGAAAGCAGAAGACGTACAAACCGCCCCAAGACGAGATGTGCGCGCGCGCACTACCGATGACATCTGTAGGGCAATGTGCAGGCGGGGGCGTGCACGTATTGCTATCAGCAGGGTGACGACCTTGAAGGTGAATTATTCGCGGAATCTCACTAGTGCACTGAATATATGTTTTCCGGCCCCTGCAAATAATGTACATAATAATTGGTATGGTGAGGAGGAGATGGAGCAACATTTTTCGCGTGCTACATACAAGAAGCTAATCTTCAGCTTGCGAGAGGACACTGTTGGTCAGATCGCTAAAAGGCTTAGGGCTCTGGCGGCCGCCTCTGCAACCGCCGGCGCCACTGTTCTCCTGCCTGTTTGACCCACACTTCTGTTGGCGAGTGGGTGTGGGGCAGCGTGGTCTGTCACTGATGAGGGGTGGATTATACGTGGAACCTGGGGACGATGAAGTCACTGCGTTTCAGGGTAGCCCTATGTGATATGATAAAGCTTGACGTTCTCTCTGTGGCAGTGTTTACAGGGAGGGAAGGAAGCAACAAAAGGTAGCAGGTAAGGAGGTTAACCAGAAAGACATCCTGTTAGCTATCCTACACTGGGAGATTAGGAAAGCGGACAAGAAAGATGACATGGAGGAAAGAAAAGGGAAAGAAAAAAGGAGAGACAGACAGTAAATTTCGCGCTGCGTATGAAATCCAACGCTAGTCAGAGGCGTTCCACAAAACCAGACGTCCTCCAAACTTAAAAGATGGCTTTCACTGCCTTGTGGGCTGTCGAGGGATGTGAATGGTGCTGTAATAGCATCTGCACAGAAAGAGGCCAATGATTTAGTCGCCGCAATGCGCTGTCAAGTATTTGTGTCTGAGGAAAATCTAGGCAGTGGCACCACAGGTGTTCGACATTTTCAAAGCTGCTGCAAGCATCGCATGCCGCACACTCAGTCATTCTGAATAGCGAGGTGAAAGCGTTGAAGTGTAGTGCGATAGAATAAATGGCGTTAGGAGGGCATTCGTTTGCAGCTGCCTCTAAATGACTTTTTTCTTACTTTTTTGTGCTAGGAAAGAGATTGATCTGACTACACGATAATGTTTCGTAGTCTCTTGGAATTTCACTACGCGGTCGTTCACTGATGGCCTTGGGCTGCGTACGTCGCTAACCAGATTCCCTGTCGGTAAATGAACTACGCTTCCCTGAATGAATGCTCGAGCCCGGTTTTGGGTGGCCTCGTTATTGGGAAGCATTGCATGGGGCGGGAGCCCAGATTACCACAGCGAAAGCTCTTTAGAGATAAGAACGTAGGTGACGCGCGCCACCGTAGTTGTCCGCCACTCCCACCAGTGTCCGTGAACAGTATCAAAAGAACAAAAACTCAGTAGATAAACACCCCAATAACACAATGGGATTCAAACCCGGGTGCGCTGTGTGCCAGCCCAGTATTCTACAACTGAGGCACGCCAGTGCTTGGAACTCAATTTTAAACTGGCCTTAGATAGGCTAGATATCGGGAAAGTAATCGCGTTAATATGAATAATAAAGCGTTTTAAAACATCAAAAGAACAGCCAGGTGTCACACAATGCGAATCGATTTACTAGTGGGTCGTTCAATGCTCCAATTGATTAGAAAACACTATCACCTCTTAACTGTGGCGCATACCCACTTCAGGCATAATTCTGCATTGTTGTCAGGCACTGCTTAGAAAATTGCACAAAATTTCTAACAATTGTGTAGCGAATGCCACGCTTCTTTAAAGAAAAACGAAGGATAGCATAAAGAATGCTGGCTCACTACGTAAACTATGAATAATTTTGGTGTAGTGGGTACCCAGCAATGTGCTTGTAGCAGTAACCCAAAGAGTTAAGAGAGGCTCTGAAAGGCCGCTCTTCTTGCTTTCGATGTGACTGCGCTGTGTGTTCCTCGTAGGCCTGGCGTTTTTGGTATGCTGCGGTGCTTACGATTTCACTTGAGAACGTAGTCTTTGTGGCCTATAGTCGCTTGGTGCCACGTGTTTTGGAGCGAGGGGCAGTGGGTGTATCCTTCCGGCGGCAAACATGTTTCAAGCTTTTTTTTTTGGTGATTTGGTAGTATACATTTTGAGCGTCATATCCGTGTCGCAATTATGTCAGCGAAATCTTCGTAGACCCCTACATAAACACTTTCACGTTGAAAAACGAATAGAACCAGGGCCGTCAGGGCCATCTGGTGGGAGCCGAGTACTTTACCACCGAGAGATGCCAGTAGTCGTAACTCTCCTGAAAAAAATATTTCATGGTGTCGTCAAATCGAGCAAGAAGTTGCGTTAGTTTCGTAGTATGAAGCAGTAAAAGAGCAAATTATAACCAAGTGCCACACAACACGAATTTTCCACTGATTGTGTGGTTTATGTTTCTCATCCATGGCAAAAACACAGCCATCAATTCTTAGTTGTTATCAGCCACATGCAGTATCAACATAATGGCTGGAAAAGTGAGTGAGTGTAGCTGCAAAATGAGCTCTAATATGAGGAATAATGGCGTAGTTGGTGCTTCCATACTTTTCGGAAATTATTATTAATACTATGTCTTAGCGGACACCTTGAAGATCTATTAGTAATTCTTATCGCAAAAAAAAAAAGAATAGAACAGGCTGCGGAAAAGCAACTTTTCCAGGCTTACCTGTGTCAACATTGAGTGTTCCGCGCAGACCTAGGGTGTTTGTAAAATTTATTTTGCAGAAAAAAAAAGAAAACGTCCCCCTCCGATGACGTACCTCTGTATACTTATAGAGTTCGATCGTACAAAGAGCAATGCACATATGGGGGACATCCGTTGTGCAGCGTAATGATTCAAATAGACAACAGCAGAATCCACAAAGCACGCAACGCATTTAGCAGCTGCTATTTTACTTTATTCATGGAACCGCCAGCTGTACGCATTCAGAGTCCTTTAACTTGATAATAATACATAAATGATCCGACTGTGTTTCGCACGCGTTTTTTTCTTGCTTACGTACAACATACACGGCGCAGCTTGAAGTTACTGGGAGGAGAGAGTGAATTGAATAGAACACGTCCTTCTCACGTGGTCTGATATCTTGCCGAGGCATCACTCGTAGCCCAAGGCGATGTACGTGAGCGGTCTGGCATTCAGTAGTCCGTTCGTACGTGAAGTGAAGGTGCAAGCTAAGGATTGCTGGAAGTGCTGCCGGTGAAAACCGATGGACTGATCCTTACAAATAAACGCTTATAAATCTGTGTGACGCTATCTGTGATGAACGACATGGATTCCAAAGAAGGCCTCGGCATCGCTGACATGGTAGTTTTTTGCCTTCTCACGGCAACAGGTTACTTCGTCGGTCTTTACTTTTCCTTCAAGGGACGGGACCGTCAGGTACGTGTCTTTCACACAGCGCACTGAAAGCACCAAGCCATTTGGTGTACGACTTTTGATAATATGAACAATGCTATCTGGTGTTTTACATCCCAAACCACGATGTGAATATGAAAGATGCCATAGAGATGCCGAAGCGGAAATTTTGACCTTCTGGCATGTTTCAATGTGCAATGACATCGCACCGTACAAAGGCGTCTACCAGTTCGCAGCCACTCAAAGGCAATCGCCACGGCCGGGATCGGATGCGCGACCTTTGGAGTCTGCAGACAAGTGCGATTATCGCTGTTCCACCGAGGCGCACTACGGCGTGGAGTATTGGTTAACTATGGTCACATGATTGGAAAGACGAGCTCTACGTATAAAAGGATAATAGCCAAATACATTGTATCAGGGCATTTTTTGCAGACACGATCGAACTTTATTGTTCGCTGACTGCTACCGCTAACAGTGCATTGAATTAGAACTGCTCCAAGTCTCCATATACGATTGCGCGCTTAAAAGAACGTAAAAAAGACAGATTGAGGATCTTGCAGAACGAAACTGTCAGAAATTTCAAGTAATTTGTTTTTTTAAATCAGTCGTCGCTCACGTATAAATAACTCATTAGCTCAGCACTGCTATCGTAATGAATGAATTTGCCAGTTCTACGATGGCCGGTGGTTTACTTAAGGTAAGCATTATAGATGGTGTCCCTTGCTAAAAGCACGTCGTTTATCTTAGAATGTTTGTGTTGGAGGTATAATAATAATGCTTACCTAGTAAAAATCGTGACTCTTCGGAACTACGAAGACGTACATCACAGTATGAACGAACGATACAGCTCAAGGAAGCGAGTGGTTGGTTGTCCTTTTCCGAAGCCTTCTGCAGCGAAAGCTGTCTGCACACGACGTGCTGGGTAAGCCACCTGTTGCGAAGTTATCTTCAAACACGTGCAACTACAATTATTTATTACCGTTTGTAACGAATAGGCTGGACGTTCATGCCACTATAATTGAGGCCCGTTCCTTGTAGGTTTCCCTTAGTGAAGGCTGTTTTTCAAAGAATACTCGATAATGACAATTCCCACATTTTCGCAAGCACGCACCAGCTACCCAACGCCAATATAAACGTATGTATGATTTCCAGGCCCACACATGTGCTTTAATTTGACATGCCGTGCCCCTAGTGGAAGTTTATATTTCCAGTTGCTGTTCGCATACTGCGTAATCTAGCATTCGTAAAAACCCGACAGCAGGGCCTGTTTATACACTTCACCCGCCCCATCTAAGGAACTCCTGAAATGTCTTATATTTTTGCCCCAATACAGAAATCAAGATCAGAAGAGGCTTCGCGGGAACTGCAACAACAGGACAAGATAGGGATAATGCGCAGCAGAAGCACTCAAGAATTATTGGCGCATGTTGATTGTGCCGGAAAGTATACACCAAGACTATACCGGGTCTCCCACGTAAATTTAGCCAGCGCTAAAAAATACGCCGGTACACGTATTTACGACGCGATCAAATGCACGTTACTTACCTTTGCCTGGAGTTGGCAAGACTATTATTGTGTTCTCAAATATTCTTCAATTAGATATGTTTAAATAACGAAATTTTCAAGAAACAAAGATAGATGAAAAATTTCAATGAGAAAGTTGTAAATCGGTTTGCAAAACGTCCGATCAGACAGCTTTGAACTTTATATATGTTAGGTATTAGTCTTTCTGCTAATTGCAAATGCCCCCGAAATACATAAGATACCACGTGACAAACCCACTCACGCGTCAATGCGCCCGATGATTCTAGTGCTCCCTAATGTTCCACGTACGAACGACACGCTTCTCTCACACTGGTTCATGACAGCGATAAGCAGTCACAGTGGTTACCGTTTTTGTGGGCGATAGCAAAACGTGCTGCTCGTAAAGCCACCACCATCGTTGTGGCCCTGCCGAGACAGCGCAATGGGGCAAATGCTATCTGTGGTCGTTCGTACGCGGAACGTTAGGGAGCACTAAAATCAATGCATTGATTCTAACGTTCCCTAATTCTAACGTTCCCTAACGTTCCGCGTACGAACGTGCGGGTTTTTCACGTGGTATTTTTTGCATTTCGCGGGCAATTGTAATTAGCAGAAGAACACTAATACCAAACAGATATACAGATCAAAGCTGTCTAATCGAACGTTTCGCGAACCGATATACAACTTTCTCATTGAAATTTTTGTCGATCTTCGTTTCTTGAAAAGTTAGTTAATTAAAAATATCTGATTTCTTTTTGCCTGATAGTTCACGTATTTCATTTTGCCTGATACGAAAGACAACATCAATTAGACGCTGGATCCGATTTTAATATTGTCACGCGCTAGGAGCTCGAAGGAACGTACAAGGAGACGCGACTGTCAAAATCTCAGACACGAAGAAGGACGTCTCCACTGGCACGGGTTGCTTGTCTGCGTCTTCTTCGTTCTCTGGCACAGAACTGGCTCACTTTTCACTGGCACATAACACCAGGTGGCAATATCTTTAGAGCCCTTCAAAGCAACTGAAGAGTATAATGCAGCCACGCGAACAAACGAGCCGCCAATTTGCTATTTGAGAAACTGAGATTTCACGCATGCTTCGGACTAATCGTTCAAACAGCGCCTGCTTTGTCCCACGCAAGAACAGCAAGACGCGAATGTGATTGACTGATATGTGGGGTTTAACGTCCCAAAACCACCATATGATTATGAGAGACGCCATAGTGGAGGGCTCCGGATATTTCGACCACCTGAGGTTCTTTAACGTGCACCCAAATCTGAGCACATGGGCCTACAACATTTCCGCCTTCATCGGAAATGCAGCCGCCGCAGCCGGGATTTGAACCCGCAACCTGCGGGTAAGCAGCCGAGTACCTTAGCCACTAGACCACCGCGGCAGGGCAACATGGGAATGTCGTAAACGACATTGCGAACGCATTCGACGTATTTGTGTCTTGAGGTTTTTCCCACAAATGCGCTTGTGTGGTGTGTTACCGCTACTCAGTCCAGTTTTTGAGCTGTTTCCACGAAGTTCGCAATCTTCCGATTTGTCCTTCAAGATACCCTCGTGTGATCGAATGAAAGTTATAGGATGATAAATGAGCATGATAGATTAGTATTTTCTTGATCACAAAGAAAACCAAAAATTGGGAGGGGGGGGGCGGTTGCGGAACTGTTGTCTTGGCGCCGTATTTATAAATGCTCCTTAACTTAAACTTCACTTGCCACCACCTTGAATTCAGTGCTTTTGAAACGCGGATACGTTAGTGCTGCCTTGGCACCGCCGAAACCAACGCGTTCAAAACGTGCTCTTGCTGCATTGATGGCGGTTGCAAGTCATTGATTGATATGTTGGGTTTAACGTCCCAAAACCACTATATGATTATGAGAGACGCCGTAGTGGAGGGCTCCGGAAATTTAGACCACCTGGGGTTCTTTAACCTGCACCCAAATCTGAGCACACGGGCCTACAACATTTCCGCCTTCATCGGAAATGCTGCCGCCGCAGCTGGGATTCGAACCCACGCCCTGCGGGTCAGCAGCCGAGTACTAACCACTAGACCACCGGGGCGGGGCCGGTAGGAAGTCAGGTTCAAGTCGAGGAGCGTTTCTGAATGCGGGGGTTATACCCGGTGACAACTTTTCTTGGCATTGGAGCGAAGGCTACAGAGCCAAACCGTGGGCACTCTACCGCCAGCGAGTGTAGTTCCACAACAGTGACAGAATAACTCAGTGACAGAACTCAGTGTAACTCAGTGACAGAATACTGGGCTGTCACTCCCTTTATTTTGTACGTGGAGCTATTTGAGACAGGACGCTGCCTCCACCATTAAGATAGCCGTGTTTACAATAAGCTATTCGTTGCGCCTTCGCGTTTTTGAATGGGCGAAGAAGTCCCGCCTTTTTACTTGCACCCCAAAGGCTAAGGGGCGTCTGCGTCTACATAAAACGCATATGGTGTACCCCCGTCACTTTACACAGCGTTCCGAGACGCGGGCCAAAACGGACTACTTCGCGTAGTGCTACATGTGCAGAAGCTCCGCCTCCGTAGCCTTCCCTTCAGTGACAAGGAAAGTTGTCACCGAGTATACCTGTTCCAACGTTGGCATTTTTTCTTTAATCTAATATCAAAGACTGTCGCCGCTAATGTAAAAGTCTCAATAATACATTCTCTTTCAATTTCCTCTCTCCCCCGCAATATCGCGAGTCCCGTAACGTGCCCACCGACTCCACGTTGCGTGCCTCGGGCACTGTTCGAACTAAGCAATGCGTTTACTGAAACTGAACGCCTGAGCTCCTTTTTAAGTGTGAATACACTTTATGAGCGACCCCAAACCATCCACCGCCGTCGGCGGCGTCCGCAGTCTTCTCTCTATCTTAAAAAGAAAGAGGACTTGGCGGGCCGCAGCGTGACGCTCTACTGAATAAGCCACGGACGCGACGCTGATATCGGTGTCAGTAACGCGCCTTATATCTTTAACGCCGCTGCGCTCGTCCTCCTCCCCCTTCGCTCGCTCCTCCGCTCTCCTCGCTCGCTGCAGCTGCGCGCGCACCCCTCTCTCTCTCGCGCGCCCGCCTTCTCTCTCAATCTTCCGTCGAGAGCGGGTCGTGAGGGGGAGTAAAGTTAAAATCCGTTGGCATTCGCCAAATGAGTTGACGTAAACTCCCCCGTGTGATCAAATTGCGATTCCCAGGAACCATTACACCATAAAGGCACCATAGTGTGAATAATAAATATAATAGTGCGAATTAATAAATACCCCTCATAGCATCACCCCGTGTATTCGCACTTAACCATGTTCACCCTTGGGGAAACGCTTGGGAGTTTTATATTCATTGTTTCAGCGGCCTGCCGTAATTTTTTGGAAAGCAAAAACAGAGGCATGTAAGCCGCAAAGCGAAACATTCGTAGACTGATGCACCAGTCTTACTAGCCTAAAGGCTCGTGCATCCCACATCCAGCACGCATTGACGCCTCTTAAAGAGGACGTACAACACCTTTCGGGCATGATAACAAAAAGCTGCCGATCAGTAGCCCTCGCTTCCGAAAACACGTGAGCCTAAAAATATAGCGCAGCATGCGTACTGAAATTTACAATAAATTATATTGATATGTGAGGTTCAACGTGCCAAAACAACCATATTATTACGAGAGACGCCATGGTGGAGGACTCCGGAAATTTCGACCACCTGGGGTGTTTTAACTTGCCCCCGAACCATGGGCTTAAAGCACATGGGCCTAAAGCATTTTCGCCCCCACCGAAAATGCATCCACCGCGGCAGCAATTCGTTCCGCTACCTGCGGGTTAGCAGCCGAGCATCTTATCGGGGTTACAATAATTTCCGAGGGAGCTGAAAATCGCGCCCTTTTGACAGATGACCAAATGACGCTAGAGACTAAAAAACATATGCGTCGCAGAGGCTCAGCCGTTCGCTGATTAGAACATGGCGAACTCGGTCATTACTTCCCTTCTTCTGGTGACAAATAAATAGGACGGCACATTGGCCCCAGAAAAAGCTCTGAGACAGATGCTAGCTTCGATGCTGTCTGTAGCGATGACTACATGCTGTCCTCTCATTGCTATTGACTTGTCCCGGCATACCCTGGTGCGGTGCAGCTGTCCAGGTTTCGCATTGGTTCAGCAGTTCGATTCGTGTATCGGTTGTGTCACTTTCTTGCTTAGCTCAAGTTGTATTAAATGCGAAGCATTTCTTGGCGAACTTGGCCGAGCTCGAGCGTATCTATCTATCTATCTATCTATCTATCTATCTATCTATCTATCTATCTATCTATCTATCTATCTATCTATCTATCTATCTATCTATCTATCTATCTATCTATCTATCTATCTATCTATCTATCTATCTATCTATCTATCTATCTATCTATCTATCTATCTATCTATCTATCTATTCTATCTATCTATCTATCTATCTATCTATCTATCTATCTATCTATCTATCTATCTATCTATCTATATATCTATCTATCTATCTATCTGCCAACGACCTTGAGCTCTCCTGGCCATTTCGATTTAGTATCAATACAACACTTGGTATGGCATAACATGACTGTATGAAGAACATATTTTACTTGAAAATCATGACATGTATGTTATGAATGTCATGATTTACATTTCATGGTCCTGCTGCTCTCGCGGTGTTTTCGTTCACACGGCATGTTGCAAAACTGGTATGGTATGGCATGATTGCATGGTGAACACAATCAACAGACCCTAACATGAAAATCATAACATGCGAGTCATGTAACATGACTACTTGCCACGCTCATGATGCGTTCGCGGCCGGTTCGCTAGCGTTACATATGCCTAATTTGGTGTTACAGTACATGAATGGATGACGAAAGTATGTGACTGGTGCAAACATGATATCGGGAGATGCGTGTCACGTAACAACATGACTACATGCCACACTCATGATGCGCTCGCGGCCGTTTCTCTAGCTGGAAATGTACCAACCTCCATATTACGCGACGCGGATAGATGACATGGGTAAATGACACACCCAAACATGATATCTACGACATACGTGTCATGTAACATGACTACATGCCACTCTGATGATGCACTTGCGGCCATTTCGCTAGCTTCATATGTACCAAATTTGGTATTACGTGACGTCAATGAATGACGGAGGTATGCGCCTAGTGCAAACATGATAATCACGAGATGCGTGTCATGTGAGAACGTGGCTAAATGCCACAGTGATGGCACCAATACATTTCGACGTGACGTGCTCGCCGGCGTTCATTTCGTCGCGTCAGGGCGGCGTTGCCACGCCAAGCGCCGGTGCTGCCATATATACTCGCAGCCGCGCACCGCGCTACGTTGCTTTCACGCATGCGCGTTTCAGCGTGTCTGGTGCCCCTTCGTCACGAAAGAGGAAGACAGTGTTGTCTGGGTACGCATCGGCGCGAAATGCAGCATGTCGTATTTCGCGCCGTATTGGGCCCTGCATGATGCGCTCGCGGCTGTTTGCTATAGGTCCACATATACCGACTTTGGTGTCACGTGACGTCAATGGATGACGAAAATATGACTGGTGCGAACATGATAATTCTGACACACGTGTCATGTAAGAGCATAACACACCACGCTCATAGCGTGCTGCGGCCGTTTCGCTAGCTCCACATATATTAAGTTTAGTATCACGTGACGTGAATAAATGACGAAGGTAAACGACATATCTAAACATGATAATCATGATACAGAAGTCATGTACGGCATCATTTACTTCCACCTTGTAACGTTGTGCTGATTTTAAAGTCACATATCAACATTTCTCATTCGTGCTTCCCTTATCACCGATTCCAACTGTACGTGGGATCTCCCAATTTTTTTTTCTTATGATTTGTCATGTTTTCCTGTGCTTTGTGGTTTTATATATAGTCAATATATCTGTGCTCTCCCCATTGAACTCAGCCACAAGTCAGCGCTCGACCTCGTATGTGTCCCACCCGTCGTGCTCAGTTCGTGGCCATACCAATCAACATTGCTATTCAGTAAACGGCAGGTATATCTTCGTGCGCACTGCGATTTCAACCCTTACTTGACATTGAGACGACAGACAGCATAAAAACACGTCGCTTTCTAAACCATTGCCTTCACAACCTATGAATGCATACTGAACCGGCACAATACGCGTTCCTCAGTAGTGTGGGGATATAGAAAGAAAGAAAAAAATTGCCCGCAGCTTCCCTCGGGGGAACACTGAGGAGGATGCGGACCATATAATTGGTTAACGGGGTGTTAAAGTGCGACTTACTTGGGTCGATGGCTAAATTGGTTAACGTGGTTGTGAAATGGGGTGTTAAATTGCGACTTACTTGGGTCGATGGCTAAATTGGTTAACGTGGTTGTAGGAGGGGGTGTTAAATGAGTGAACACGTACACACGTATGCGAAAGGGCGGCGCTGGTCGAAGGGACGTCGATCATTGTGTTTGTGGATTCGTTGGAATTCATTTCACCACGACCTTGGACGTCGACGCGCCGTACAAACCAACCGACGAGCGGCAACTGAGCGAGCGAGCGCCGACCTTGAGTATATATACAGCACGACGGCGCATGCACTGTCAGCTGTTGAATGTTCTCGAAGCGCGACGCCACATGCGCGTCCACTGGAGAATCAGGAGAATTGTAGATGTCGAACGCGGTGTGTAGAGGAGGAAGGGTGCACAGATGGTGGAGGAGTGAAGCGCGCGCGGTGTGTAGAGGAGGAAGGGATGCACAGATGGTGGAAGAGTGGGCGACGGCGCGACGGCGCATGCGCGCGCGTCAGCTGTCGAATGTTCGAGAAGCGGTGCGGACGGCGCACTACAAGGCGCGAGTATAAGATGCTCCGCATCTAAAAATGGCAGCATATCCACGGAGTGAATGATGGATAGTGGGGCGAAGCATCCGTCCGTTCATTTGTTCTTGCTTCCGTCCATCCCATGCGTGCGTCTGTGTAGGCACTTATGCGTCTATTCGCCCGTCCGTGCTTGCGTCAGCTCGTACGTCCGCGCGTTCATCTGTGCGTCCGCCCCTGCTTTTGTCCATGCATCCGCTCCTGCGTCCGTCCATCCGTCCGTGCAGCCATTCGTGCGTCCGTCCATGCATCTGTCTGTGTGTCCGTTCGTCCACCTATTCAACACTCCAAGTACCACCATCTCGCATTTTTTCATTATATATTCCTCATATAGAAGCACAGCGAACTAGCGGACATTCCAAGGATTGAACGAGAGGAGGCACACGCACACTTTCTTACGGCTTGCACTTCGTGACTACTTCCCACCTTTAACCCCCTCGAGTTCATGGTGTATACTAGTTCGCTGTATTCATGGCACTGCGGCCCAACGCTCACTAAACCTTTCTAAAACCTAGGAGGTTACGCCCAGCGAGTATAACGTAGCAACCCTTTCTTGCCTCCTATGCGTTGTTGAACAATGAAAAATTCACAGCGTGCGCATTAACTAAAAGCCGAATTCTCCTGTCTCTCATTCCCTCTTGGCAGCCATTGGCATGTACATTGAGCACTATCTTTTATTGTTCAAGAACGCACAGAAGAAATCTCTCATCGGCACCACCTTAGAGGTCAAAATGTTATACTTGTTACACACTACTACTACGGCTACGAGGGACGAATGGGTGCCACTAAAAAAAGCTTTGCGCATAAATCTATACACCTTTTTACAGGAAGGAAAAAAAAAACACCGCCACGTTGGGCTGTGCGCGGGAGTACAAAGGCCAAGGGCGCAGCGTTTCCAGTGCATTTTCAAGGGGACGTGCCAATTTGCACAGCCCAAAAAGGGCTATGGCGGCGCCCGGGAGGCGTTTATGAAAAGGTGAAATTAAATAGTCCGTCGATTGCTTCAGGTATGGCGCGTTGCCCCTAGCTGTCAGTCGGAATCGCTTGGGACACGGCTTGTACCAAGGGGTTGACTTATTTCGCGCTGTGCATTGGAGTCTCGGTTGCGGAGCAGGGCCTCCAAGGATTTTTTAGGGTGATAACCGATGTTTTGACTACGAAATGTCCACAATGTGTGAAGCAAATTGGCTACCTGATTACAAAACTGACACTGGGACCGGAAAACTGCACGGTGCCACTTGATGTAAAGTGCTGGGTTTGAAAAACCCCGGTCTGTAGCTTTCGCCACAAAGCCTCGTTTTTCTTATTAGTGAGTTGTCCGCTCTCAGATAGACTTGCCGATTTGGCCTGTTGTGTGCGACAATTTCATGATATCAGTAGTAAGGAAGACTTAGCGATTGTAATGAATCCTATTGCGCAGGTTTCGTCTAATGATACCAATGGTGCATCTGCTGTGCTTGATGCCTTCCTCGGGGGCCGGAGGCTTCCTGCAGTGGCACTGGCCGTGTCTGTGCTGGCATCAGTGGCCACTGCAGTCGGCGTGGTGAGCTTCGTGGGCCACTACTACGCGTATGGCTTCCATCTGGATTGGGCATTGGCTGGCATCCCATTTTCAGCGGCCATTGTTTCTCTCAATTGTCGTACCGCTGCTTTACGACCTGCGAGTGACATCGGTGTTTCAGGTAAGTGCCCGTTCATCGTGCCGTTCTAAGTTATTGATTGGCATAGGGGTACAACCATCCCCTGAGCCAGCAATGGCAGTTGTAAATGTGGAGCATGTTTTGGTCGCATGTGGTCAGTGGTCCGGCGTCGACTGGTGCCATCCGCAACCCGACTATAGCATATTCTAGGCACTATATCCCTACGGCCCATGCTGGCCTCCCGCGCCTTGTGCCGCATGCTCACGTCTCGTGCCAACTGTGACACCCCTCCCCCTATCTCGTCTTGCAAGGCTGACACAGGACAGCGTCTGCTAGTGAAAAGAAAACAGACTGCTCGTGCTAATACAAACATTTACTGGCCACCTCGCGTATGTAGGCACTAGATTTCGCGTTTGGAATGCAGTCAAGGGCATCTAGACTTGACTTTCGCCTGACGACGTTTTGCTTGACTCAAGTAAGTAGTTGCGACAGATGCAGCTGTACTTTCAACCAGATGTGGACAGCACTGAACATCAGCGTCCCACCACTCGTTGAAGGCAAAGATTCTCCTACATTCAATAAATAGGAAAATTAAGCCAAATAGCCAAATACCAATTAGGCATTCTCCAAAAATACCCAACTATGCAACATTCGGGGTTGGGTATTTATAAAGTTCCACCCCGTGGGGCGAAAGGCCGTCTCTTTAGGGGTGAAGCTCTTCAGGCCGTGAGTCGTACCCTCTTCCACAACATTATGACTTGCTCAATAGATAACATTTTGCCTATGTTCTTGGCAGTAATATAACAAGATGGCGTTAGTGGTTATTGGTAACCGTTCGTGCGTCCGTCCGTTTGCCCGTCCGCCAATCTGTCCGTGCTTCTGTCCGTCCGTGCGTATGTCTGTCCGTTCGTTCATCCGTCCCTGTTTCCGTCAGTCCGTGCGCCCGTCCGTCCGTGCGTCCATACGTTCTGCGTTCATCCGTCCCTGTTTACGTCCATCCGTCCTTGCTTCTGACCGTCCGTCTGTCCGTGAGTCCGTCCATGCTTCCATTCATGCCTCTATCTGTCTCTCTGTCCGTGCTTCCGTTCATCCGCGCGTCCGTCCGTACTGTCATCCGTTTATCTGTGCTTCTGTCCATCCATCCGTGCTCCCGTCCATCTGTTTGTGCTTCCGTCCGCCTGTACGTCTGTTCGTCCATCCTTGCATCTGTCCGACCATCCGTCCATCCGGGCGCATGGACTAACGGTCACACGGACGGACGGGTGGACGCTTTTCCCCACTCATCATTATTCACTCCGTGGATATGCTGCGATTCCGTGGCGTTGACGCTGGCGTCATCGTGGTGTTACACAGGAGAGATCTTGGGGAGGCAAAAAGCACGCAGTAATAAGGTGGTGTTTCCTACAGGACACATGCCAATCGCTGCCAAAGGCTCACTTGCACCAAAGGCAGTGTGGCAAAGTGGTCAAGCAGATTTTTCAAAGCGGCGAAGTGGCGAATGCGTGAACCCATCAAGACCGCATGTCTTTCAGCTGGCCGCGCGGCAGAAGAGGTGGGCAGAGAGGGAGAAAACTTTATTTGCGCATAACGCGGAGAATTCCAAATGGTTGGTCCCCTATTTCAGGGCTCCGCTGGCCCTAGCCATCTCGCATGTTTTCGCATGTGTTGCTTTCACGTGGTAACGCTTCTACCAAAGGTACATAACCGTGCATCTACCACGTGGCGTTCTAATTGACTGCGGCAAAGCAGCGAGCTTCGGCGGGCGGCATAAAGTTGGTCGAGGAGTGATCGGCTTTGCCGCCTGGTTTTCCTCCCGCTTTCGTCCGCCTGAAGAAGAGGTTCTTCCCGATTTCCATGTTGAAGCCTGACTGCTTTGGCCTTCGGTGTGAATGAGCTTTCATGGTGAATGAGAGACAGAAGACTGAGTGGGCACAGAGACGCGCAGTACGCTTTTCGTTACCGTACTGGCGAAATCTCCCGCCGGCGCTAATTTAGAGGTCAAGATCTATTGCCTTTATATACGGGGTGGCCGCTGAACGGCTGTGTAGTGAGAGAAGTCGCTTTTTAGAAGTAAAGCTCCTTTTAGTTTGAACTTGTCGCGCATCATGCGTGCTCGAGAAGAAGAGATGAGAAAGGAAAAAAAGGCAAAAGAAATGGATGACCATTTATCGTCTCATTTCCTAGATGGCGTTACTCTGCCGCTACTTTTAAAGTTTCTGAAAAAAATTAACTAAGGTAGCGCCATTCATGTCAATGTACAAGCTCCTCTCTCTAGCGTGCATAGAAGATAGTAAATGACGCTAGCTGGGGGGCTGTATGGCTTCTGGCCACAAAGGTGGATGTGCACTCATATTTCCTTTACAGCTAATTTGGGTGCTGCAGCTCTAGGCGATGCACCGAAAGAGTGATGGAGAAAGAAAAAATACAAAAAGTAACGCTAGTTACGACGATCTGACTTGTCTATAAGCAAGTTGCATGCAGTGGCAAAAGCATCATCACAAGCACGCAATACCCAACGTGATAGCCCACCGTTTGCGTGCAGACGTGCTCAGCGGTGACGCTCTCGATAGCAGCGCCTCTGCTGTCCATGTAAACTCAGCAGTGCTAAGAATCTGCAACGCAACGCACTAGTTTTCGTGAAGCTATCGCAAACGCCATATTGTTTGTCCACTTTCGCGAGTACGCGCTCCACGAACAGACGCCACCGGCGTAACCTTTCAGCATAGCCGAGGCACGGCCGCTCGATGAATACACGGCGCAGCAGTGTCCGAGCTGCCCAAGTGTCTGGCACATCCAGTGCGCCCACGTGCTTTCGCGTTCATAGTTTCCTGGTGGATACTAGAGGCGCTGCTGGGGTTGTTGGGAGAGGAGGTAGAAGCGAAGCGGTGCGGTTGTCGCTACTTTAGATTTTTTCAGAGACTTTAGCTACTCTCCGCTTTGCTGCTGCACGTGCTTTGCCTGAGTGCGCGGAGAACGAGTTCCTCTTACAGTCTCCTGGATAGTAGCCGTACGTGGCGGATCGTTGGTAGAGCATGGACAAAGCATAGCGCCGGGCGCGTTGAAGAAGTTGCGCTCAGCTTCCTCGGCTCGCGTCTCGTCGGTGTTACTGGCGCGCCGTCTGCATTCTCCAACGCGATCGGACGCATGCACCGACGAATGGACGGACATACGAACAGATGGAGGACGGACGCTTCGCCCCACTCGTCATCATTCCCTCCGTGAATATGATGTGAATTTTCTTTTTTCAATCAAGAAACTCGCTAGCCAAAGAGGCGGAGGGGAGTCAGTTTTGCGGATGGCTGGACGGAAGCAGGAACAGATGGACGCATGGACAGACAGACGGACGGAAGCATGGACGGAAAGACAGACGGATGCATGGGCGGACTCACGCACGTACGGACGGTTGGATGGATGGATGTATTACCCCTGTCACACGGGCACTTAAAAGTCTTTTAAGCAAGCGGTCTTTTTCCGAAAAGGAGTTCCTGACAGCAGACACACGGCACAGAGTGAACTCATTTTCAGAAGCGGTCTTTTTCGTAAACGAAGTTCATCGATCTCTTTTACGGCTCCGAATGAGTAGCCTCGAAACCAGTGGGCGCCAGCAATTTTCGAGTGATGCGAAAAAAAGAGCCAATGCTTATTTTTTTGTCACCAAAACTCTTTGTAAAAACAAAGTTCATATCCTGCAGAAGGTGTAATGAACTCTTTTAATGGTTATTTCCTTTTCTACTCTCATAAGCAGCTATAACGCATTGGCAATATCACGTGGTGACGCTCGGTCTCGCGCCACGGCTTTTTGCACAAGCGAGAAAAGCGTGGCAGTCGTGTGTTTGCCTGTCATTCAAGTGGTCCGAGTCCGAGCGTCTGTGGCCAACTCCGCAGATCAAGCAGCCGGCGCCCCACGGAAAAGGCAGCGTCTGCAGTGGTCGGAAGCAGACAGGTGAAGCCTAATCAGACTCTGGGAGGTACAGTTCCCTCGAACCACCTCTCGTTTCGTCTGAAGGCCCACATCGATCGATCGCAGGCCTTCTCCGACAGCTCCAGTGCGCACAGCGAGAAATTGCTGAACAGCAGTTGCTGCTTGATCCTCTCCTTGGCGGCTTTTGCAGCGTTTTCCTCGCTTTCCAGAGCGAGAAGGCAGGCTGTGAGGCTTGCGATCCTCGCTTTTTCTTCCGTACGGTCGCCCATAACGTGTCGATAGCGGTCGAGACCAGCGAAAAACAAATACGGTAAATAAAAGCCCAGTGGTGCCAGACGGACTTGTGCACGTCGCTAGTTATGGAAATGCTTCCTTAACTAGTGCAACAAACTTTCACATTGGTGTTTCTTCATCTCTTATTCTTGATTGATTGATTTGATTTGTGGGGTTTAACGTCCCAAAACCACCATTTGATTATGAGAGACGCCGTAGTGGAGGACTCCGGAAATTTTGACCACCTGGGGTTCTCTAACGTGCACCCAAATCTGACATCTCTTATTCTTAAATTTATTTGAAGAAACGAGCAGTGCAACAAGTCTTTAATTTGTACATCATGATACATCGTGTATTTTCATTGCTTCTCTTTTAACTGCTAGCGCCACGTTTTCGCTAGAGTCTTCGAACGAAAACACTAAAAGGAGATCGTTGCTGCCGTGTGTCTGCGCCGCAAACACCTCTTTGTTAAAAGTCTTTCAACTTCGTAAAAGACCGCTTACTTAAAAGACTTTTTGCGCGCCCATGTGACACAGGTATATGAATGGATGGATCGATGGATGGACGGACGGATGGATGGATGGACGAAATAACGTGCGCACAGACGGATGGACACATAGATGGACGGACAAATGAACGCTTCGCAATAATCATCATTCACTCTGTGGATATGATGTGCAAAGCAATAAAGCCATCTTGTTATATTGTTACGAGTAACTTATTAAATTATATGCGATGAATTGAGCTCGACGAACAAGATGGCGCCAGTTCATGAACAACCAGCAACCGACGTCATCTTTCTCTTTCACGCAGCAAGGCTGCGGCGGCTGTTTTGTATCATAACCTC